TTCGATACTTTCAAGGCAGAATGTCAATGTCTTCCTGAAGAGCATCCTGCCCTGAGCTGGACTCCTAATACCATTGTCGAGCAATGTTATGTGGCCTTGACCTACTCACGATGCCATGCTCGAAATATCAGCCATTGACCATAACGATGCAGTAGATAAATGTCAGCTGCGGACAGGCAAGCCCAAGAGTATGTCTTCCCGTCAGAGATGTTCGTGTAGTCCTTCCAGATATCTTACCAGATAGATGACCGCTGATCCTCGTCTCTTGCTTCTGATCCATCTACCTATTTCTCCTATTTCTATGGACCCAGGTGGAGTATACTATATGGTTACCCAAGAAGGTTAGCGATGCTAAGGATCCATGTCCTAGAAGCCCTACACAGTCCGAAACTATATATAGTATGTAGGTGGTGTGAATAAAACCATGTACCAAGCTTCTGCTTTGTCCTTCGGGAGAAGGTAACCCCTGAAAGGCCAAAGACATCGCAACGTATCTGTGAAGGTGATCAAGGGCCTATATATCTCTAGGTCTTGCCTCTGTGCCAAATACAGCGCAGAGAGGCTCCTAGAGTGGCTATGAGTGACTACCTCTTCTCCAGTCATCACTAACGTTCACACCGTGCGAAATACGTAAAGGACGCACTATATTGCGCCTCACTGTAGGCAGACCAGGCAGGGCAGGCCACTGGCGCGCTAGGAGCTCTAGCTAGCTGGCTGGACCGTGCATAATACAAAGACAGCACACTGGTACGTAATATCACGTGTTGATACGCGATAACGATCATCTAGATCGAGAAGAATTCCATTATTTCTCGAATACCTTAACCTTACGAAGGGTATCTCTTAAACCTCAGCAAACCATGTGGGAATCTCCGGCGCGTCGCAGCCATTAAACCAGCGCAATAAGCAAATCCATAGCAACAGATGGCAACCTGATCACCTGTGTTGTCCAACCTTCATTATACCCAGCCTGTTGTCGTACGCGATTCGCATCGGAAGAATCGGTGGCGGGGAAAAATGCGGATGGCATCAACCTAAGCGGTCGGGGCAGACTTGGGCTCCTCAGCAGCCTTCGACTCTGCCGTGGACTCGACAGCAGCGGGAGCTGCTGTCTGGGCGGGAGCCTCAGCCTTGGGAGCCTCGGTGGTACCGGCTGCTGGCGGTAGAGAAAGCCATTAGCGAATGCCACATACATATGCGACCACCGAGCGACGATTGAGTATGGAATCATATGGATGGAACTCATTGGAACTCTACAAAAGTCCTCAAATTCCCAATGGAAGATTTCAATTGCGCGCATCGAGGTCAAGGGAAAGGAAGGGTTTGGGGTTGACTTACTTGCTGAGTCAGCCGGGGCCGGGGCCGGGGCAGACTCGACAGCAGGCTTTGGGGCCTCAGCCGCTGCAGCTGGAGCTGCTTTTACGACAGGTCAGCATTAATTCAGCGAGTAGTCATTCCGTTATGTAACTATGGTAGACTTCACGGGACGGGTATGGCTGGACTTACCAGGAGCAGCCTCAGCAGCGACAGCCGGGGCAGCGGCAGCGGCGGCAGCACCTTCGGGCTTGGGGGTCTCGGCGGGCTTGGCTTTCTTGTTCTTGCCGAAGACCTTCTTGAACTTAGCCTTGAGATTGTCAAGGGCGTCCTTCGCTGCGACGAGTTTGGCATGTTAGCATGTCGCGTGAACAGTCAACCAAGCGTATCCAGACGTCATTCGACGACAGCTCAAGCTATCTCACTATCGGACTAGGATAGCGCGCTTGCAAGTTCTCACGGCTGCGAGGTTCATTCACCATCGTCATGGCCAACAGGGACACGAGTGTTTCACGGGACCTAGGAAGGAGGGAAAGAGGGATGACTTACGAACACCAGGCATCGTGACGGTGGTTGATTCGACTTGGAAAAGTTGATGAAATCGTTTTAATAACTGAGGTTATTGACGATAGAGTTGACGTGTCTGAGTCCTTGAGGTTTAATTTGTCAAGATGGTATGTGGTTGTCGTAGAGAAGAGAGGCAGAGAAGAGGAAAAAGTTGAGAGAGGTGTATTTTGGGGAATGAGTCGAGATTAAAATTGGGGAACCGATAAGCTGGAAAGCACCTGTTTTGGCAGTTCTGCCAGACAGTGCCAGTGCCAGTGCCAGCGCTGCTGCACCCTTGACAGCAACCCCATGCAACGCACAGGGGACATTCTGCCATTTTAGCGCCGGCTCCTGCTGCAAGACGCACAAGCCTCAGCAGTCAGCAGTCAACTGAGCCAGTCAGGAGCCAGTCAGGAACCAGTCAGGATGTCAAGCAGCCTCTGGAGTTCAGGGGGAAGCTTTGCCTATTCTCGTTTTACCTGTTTTACGGAGTACCTCCTTCGTACGGATTACCTACGTAGGTACACACCTACAGCATACAGCACCTGTCTTCCAAGAGTACCTACCAAGCAAGGCCAGCTTGGGCCAAGCTAGCTTTGCATGAATCTCAAACCGGACGAGGTCACAAGATTACGGATACTATCTCGAGCTACACAATATCTCCGCATCTTACAACCTAGGAGTACTTCGTACATACGACCCGCACCGAGCACGCTCCAAGGGTTCCAACAGACGTTACAATCCGGGGTATTAGGTACATATACAGTACTAAGATGGCTCGCATTGGTACCACCTACCTACTACAGTACATAGTAGTGTTCGTAACTTTTTATCTGTATGTGTGTACATACTTCGTACATACTAGGAATTTCGCCTGCCTTGCCGTCCAGCGCTAGACACGGTCATTGGCGAGCTAATACCATCAGACGATCTAGCTAAGACAAGCCACATTTCCTAAGCAAGACCAGGGTTCTCTTCATTATGTGCATCAGTCTCCAGGTTCCCCGTCGTGTTACAAATATAAAATTTTAGACATCCGATCAATCTACCTCAGAAGTCTGATCAGGGGCAAACACCAAGTTCCGGCGAAGAGAATCAGTATCCTATGTAAGTTCTAACATACCCCGTGCCCACGTCTCCGATGCCTCCGATGTTTGTAATACCTCGCTTGTCCCTCATAGTCGGGATTTTTCAATCTTCGGGTGGCTGCAGTAGTCGGGAGCTGCCGACAAACCTCAGCGGCGATATAGCAGCTACATCGCAGTCTACGAAGTATGAGGCCCGATATTTTGGTCACTATGTGTCAAATAGGAGACAAAGAATCGGCTCAACCCAATCAGAGACGATGTAACGGATGAACAGCCCGCTTTATCGCTAGTGGTCCCTTCGCGGTATAGAATATAGAATAAAGTCACAAGTCCGACGACAGACATGCCTCAAAGTATATAACCACCTAGTACGATGGCTGTAGCGGTCAGATTTCATTTATAATTCCCGCCCCCTCCTTTGTCGTGTTTGCTATGGAGTTGATTATTTCCTCCATCTTTGCCTCCGCTTCTCACCTTCTAGCGCATCGTCGAAGTCTTTAGTAGGAATGGCGCCGATTATCCATCTCGTCCGTCACGCTCAAGGCTACCATAACCTCAGCACGGAGAACCAGCAGCTCCCAGATCCGGAGTTGACTCCTCTGGGTCAAACACAATGCGACGAGCTTTGCAAGCGATTCGACGCTCACGACAAGATTACCCACCTCGTTGCATCTCCCTTGCGCCGGACGTTGTACACTTGCTTGCGCGCCTTTGACCCAGTCGTCAAATCCGGCAAAAAGGTGATTGCTATACCGGACGCCCAGGAAATCTCTTCCTTGCCATGCGACCACGGCTCGGAACCCGGCAAGCTGCAGCAGGAGTTTGGGGACCTCGTAGATTTCCACCTCGTCCAGGAGGGCTGGAACGACAAATCGAAGGGAGGACGATACTTCCCCACCGCGCCCAAGCTCGTAGCGAGATCGCGAGCGGTCAGATTGTGGCTTAGGGAGCTGGTAACCCAAGCTGGGGAAGATGCCCAGGTCGTCCTTGTCACGCACGGCGGGATTCTCCATTTTCTTACAGAGGACTATGACGGAGCCAAGATAGAACACGGTATGTACGAGTTTAGACCATTGCTGCCCTCCCCCATACCTACGTCCACGGTCAAGACTTAGATCCTACGAGTTGTTAAAGACTTGGTTCTGACTATTTACAACTAACAGGCACCGGCTGGGAAAACACCGAGCTACGTTCGTACGAGTTTGAGGATCCGACCGGCCAAGACCCCGACGCGTATCTAAAGGAGATCCAACAGAGCTGGCGTCGCCGCCGAGGAAGCGCGATTCCCCTCACCGAGACAGAGCAACTGGAGCTAGCGCAAGCCTTCCAGACGGCGTTTGACGAAGATACTGGGAAGACTGAGGAGGCCGTTGTCGAGTGAATAATTAGGACCACAGAGCCAGGGAGTCATTGGTTCGATAGAGTCATGCGGAGGGTTGAACACGCAGGATAGGACTTAGACATGACACTTCGGCATTTCAAACTACGGGGTGAGAGTACCGTGTAGCCAGCTGATTTGCAGCAGTACAATAATTGATTAATACATAAATATGCGTTGACCGTGCAGGCCCTTTAGTTCCAATGGATGATCGAGAGCATAGAGACATTTGAGATACTCCTACGCGCAATCGATAGACCCGCCTCATCATCCTGCCACTCCAGCCATCATAGGCCAATGCAAGATCCAACTCCTGCAATGAGAGAAGAGCGACTCTAAGATCTCATAAACAAGCCAAATGATAATATACCTGGGTACCTTTACAATAATAGGGGGTGGTGGTGGGTAGCTCTTCCCAGATTTCACCGACGGCAACAGCGCATATAGCCTCAAGTCAGAAGGTTTCCAGTCAGCCAGGTCCGACTGCCCCACCAATGAGGGGGGAAATGACGTGGAAAGAATGAACGAAGCTAAGTCCAATCAATTCAATCATCTGAAACCCTTATAATTTTTAAGGATTGTTACAAACGCAAGACTAATATGGCCCATTGAATTGAACTAGCAAGAACAGGAACAAAAATTGATGGATCGGCAAAAATCACCAAAAGAAGAAAGGGCTGAACCGGGAATTGAACCCGGGACCTCTCGCATTCGTACATATGTACCCAAAGCGAGAATCATGCGACTAGACCATTCAGCCTGGCTTTTACATCATAGCGACTTGGCTTGGAAAAGCCATCTGCGCCACAAGGGGATGTTGAAAATTTGTCTTGGTATTCTACACTATATCTAAGCTTTTGGCTTCCCTCCAATGAACGATTATGCCGAACTTGACCCCTGCTTTGTATGGGGTACCGAGATAGGCTAAGCTGATAGGCACATAGGTACTGAGTACCCGATCTCTTCGTTGAAGCAACAATGGAACAGAGTTGATCGGTTCAATAATCACTTCTGAACTTCCCTCAAGAGACTTCGTAGATGATAATCAAACTAAATGAAATGCAGGAATTATACTGATAGACTTCTTCCTCTTCTAGATATTGGAGAAAAGGCCTATATATCAGTAATTCTACTCCGTACGTCCCACGTCACTCACCCATCAAGGTGCTCATCTCATAACCATACGCAAGAGTAGGTAGTCAGAGAAAATCACGACACCAGTTGAACACTTCATATTATCTCAGCTGCGGGATATAGCAGCTGATCTAGCAGAATCAACCGAGCCAGAACAAGCTACTCTCTAGACTGATTCGGTCAATCTTCTGCCTCGCCACGCCGCTGTTCCTCTTCTTCCTGTAGCTTTAGGCGCTCGGCCTGCTCTTTTTCCTTCTCCTTCTCCTTGAACAAAGCAAGCAAGCCCAAATTATAGAGCACTTTTAAACCTCCCGAGCACACGAATGACACCCAGAACAGGTTACGATCGACGAGGAAGCCAGTGAGGACCGGACCGAGACTCATGGCCGTGGTCTTGACCACGTTCAGCGTTCCCATGACAGCTGTTCGCTCAGCTGGCAGGATGATGGTGGCCAGGAATGCGGCGCGGGGACCGATATCCATGGTTTGCGTGCTGTAGTTCAGGAGGAGGAAGAGGAGCGCGAGATGCACGTTGCTGGGGACGGCGATGAGCGAGCGGAATATTTGAGAGGGGAGGTTCGTGAACACCATGGTCTGTGGGACGTTAGCATTGGCTATTTTCTTGGTGTATAAGACGCAAGGTGTGCAAATAAGGCTGGGGGGATATGTACATTGACGTTACCAAACCGTTTAGCGAGCGAGGACGCGAAGATGATGGAGAGTCCCGAAAGCATCTGCGCGACGAAGAATATGGAGCCCAAGTTCCCTTCTTCGATGTCAAACCGGGACTTGAAGTAATACGTAACCCACGACCTGGAAGCATTTGTTAGCCGTAAACTCGGAGTCTCGAGCAATTTCACGACCCTTTCCACTTACAGCGGAGCGAGGCCGGACGCGAACGAGTCCAGACCCCAGAGGAGGCATATTGCGATGATCACAGGAATACTCTCCTTGCTTATATCCGGGAGCAATGCCCGCAATCCCCTCTTAGGATTATGGCTGGCACCCGAGTTCTCGCTTAGGAGCGGCCTCGTCTCGCCATCCCTTTCCTGGGCGCGCTGTAATTGCTTCTTCTCTGATTCCGTGGAGTGGCTTAGGAGGAGAGTCAAAGCCAGCTTCACCAGGCCAAGAACAGAGTACACGATATATATAAGGCGGTACGCGCGGGTGAAGTTCCACTGAAGAACTTCGGTCAGGTACTGAATGACCCATCCGCAGACCATGCATCCGCATGCCGTGCCCAGTGACCCCAGGAGACTGTACCAGGCGAAGATGTCATTCCTATTGCTCGGGTCTGTCAACTGCGCAACGACGCTCTCCTCGATGGCACGGAAAGGGCCAATCTCGTTGCCGCTGATCCAGCACATGCATATGTCAGCCCTCGTCTCTATGAATGAGGTGGAAGGCATCAGTCTCTTTCGTACCTCGGGCTAATGACCCCAATCATCGCCGCGACGAGGAGCACCCAAAACTCCCCGAAAAGCGCGAACACGACGCCGCTGGCGGTCATCATGAGGGCGCCGAGCGCAAGAACGGCCCTGCGTCCCAGCGCGTCCGCGAACAGCGTCAGGAAGAAGCTGATGCAGATGTCCCCGACCATCGTCAGCGTCATAAACAGCCCGATCCTGGTCTTGGGGTTCCCGAGCCCGTCCAGGTACGCCACCAGGATCAGCGTCGACAGCCCGTACGCGAACATGCGCACGAAGCGCTGCAGACAGAGCAGCTTGACGTCCCGCGAGGAGGCGTACATGGTGACGAGGCCGAGCTCGTCCAGGACGCGGCGCAGGATGCCGTGCTGGTTTGGAGCCACGGTGGTTGTGGGAGGGTTGTCCATGTTTCTTGTATGGGTTTATCTGCGTGCTTACCTAAGGAGAGAATCCTGATGAGCTATACTCAAGTCTGCTTGCTCCCGTAAGTTACGGTGTAGGTGGCCAATTTTGCAAGTGAGACATACTGGACTGAGTTTGAAGTGAGACGTGGACTGGATGTAAGTATCAAAGCTGGAGTTACACTGACCCATTGTTCAAACATTAGGTAATCAATAAATACGTACGAGACATGACCCCGCTGCTAATGCAAGTAAGCCTGTGAAATTAGTCACGGTGCATTGCGTGAAGCTATCGTGGGAGGTCAGCAGTGACAAAACAGGAACTCACTCAAAGAAAGGGGTACGACGCCCTAGGAGATCCTGTTTTGACCTATGTCAGGCTGCACGTATGATTTGCTTGACAGGAAACTGATGCTGTTTTGATACCATCTTGGTTTATTTACCTACAAATACCTATTTGTACGTGGTATCGGAATGGGACAAATTTTCCCTTCTTCTCTACAAGATCATAGCTTGTATCGGAAGTGCTTGTTCTCCTTGTCGGTAAGATCCTCGAAGCCTTCCAGCTGCTTTTCTACCGCATCGGCACGTAGACCCTTTCGGTCTCGTTCCCTATTTTCAATCCAGCACCACAAAGTATAGAGTCCTTGGAAGAATACCACGGCACAGTATGTACCTAGAAGTCCCTTGATCGCTGTAGGGTATCGGGGTGCCTCCGAGGCTAGGAATAGGTGAGGGCCGATGATACTGCGACACGTTTAAGTCAGTAATGCTTTCGTCAATTAGCACCGCAGCTTTGCTTACTTTCCAACGACATAACACACAAAATAGATACCGAGAACAGCACTCCTCTTGGTGTGCCCGGCCACGTTGATGCCAGGGACGGTCCAGCTTAAAACGATAGGTGACCCAATCACATTCTGAAGCCAGCACATGCCGACCAGGGCATAACGGTACTCGATGTCAATCTTCATGATACCGATCAGCCCGGCCATACCAGGTATGCATCCTACCATGATAGCTACGCCGACCATGTTCGGGAGCTGCGAGAACCTTCCGAGCACAAGGCACCCTACGACTTCGAATGCGCCTCCCGGTGCCTGTAAAAGAGAGGCTCTCAGCGCGTCAAAGTTGAAGCCTTTGATGATAGCTGACATGAAATTGGTCACGGCGCCGTTGAGTAGCCCGACAGCCATCCCCGTCATCCATAGCAGGTAGCATTTTCCGTCCAGCACCGCCTCCTTGATCTGATATGGCCTGATTGTCGAATCTTTGATACCAATCTGGTTGTTGGAGACGCGCCAAACAGCGACGACACGTTCGTACTCCGTTAGCATCTTTGCATTGTGTGGTCCATCGGGGAGATAGAGCAAGATGACGAAACCCCACACGAAGGTGAGAGCACCGACAATCTACGTAGATATCGAATCAGTCTCTGTTGATATTTGCGGCATAGCAGATCCTACCAAGAATATGAGTTTCCATTGGGCTATCGTAAGGCCGTCGGCAACCCCAGAGGCGTAAGCCAGGAGAGCGCCCAGGATATTCGAGACACCGTTCGTGCATAGCCAGATGGAACTGCGCATGGTTTGCTCCTGGCGAGTCCAGAGCATCGAGGTCAACAAGACCCATGCCGGTGAAATGCAACCCTCCAGCATGCCGAGAAAGAAGCGGATCGCAAAGAAGCCACCGAAGTTGAACACTGTCGCTTGCAGCATGCAGAGGGCTCCCCAGACGAATAACATGCCGCCGAGCAGCTTTCCGATGGGAACACGCTGCAGCAATAGATTCCAAGGCCATGCTCCGCCTTAAGAGCCTATTAACTTCTCCCTCTGGTTGTGATAGCGTTGCTCAGAGTTGTGTTACTTACAGAGCCAACCAAAATACAAGGCAGAGGCAACCCAGGAGTAGTTATCGCCCGACATATGCGTATCCTGTTGTAGCCCGTACGCGTTTGAGTAGTTGAGACTATGCGTATGGTATTAGAATGTCAGGATTCACGGCATCAGGCTCGTCAGAAATGTTCGTACGTCTGCTTATCGAGAAAAGACAACATGTACGTGGTCATCATCTTCGCCAAGGAACCCATGTTAGAAAGGCAACTTGCAAGATAAGAGACGTCTCGAGCGTCATACCATCGGAAGCACTAGAAGATCCAACTTCCATCGGACCTTGACGGCGTCGGCTTCGAGCTGGGCCTGGTCGTATTGCAGCGACTGCCGGTATAAGTCCTTGCCCAGCTCATTCACATCGTTCCGCCGGTGAGTGAGACGGTGGAACACGTTCTGCTTGGGGAGCGCCGAGCTGACCCCGCGCTCAGTGTCAACCGGGCTCTCTCCAACCGGACCGTCGTTTTCTTTCTCAGACATTTTCGCAGCTATACTGGGGGCCGACCCGGGGAGAAACAGAACAGATGGACATTGAGATTAGAAAACGATGAAGACAATCCATGATCGACTGAGAGTTCCATTCTAAGTATCTAAATACGATCTCGATGAGATACATAAGTAGCGGAGGTACTTCGTAATACTATTGGTATCTATCACGATAAGACCCTTGTTGACAGTTGCATACATGTATGTATGTACGTACGTTCCCTGAGCCATGGCGCAGCGTTCTTTGATGCTTGCCCAGTCGCGTCGCTGCTGATCGTTATCAATCACTCTACACCAGCGGGGTCATGCATAGGTACCTAGCTGCCTAGGAGTTGAATCCGCCATTAAAGTCTACCAGAAGACACCCAACCACTCCATCCATCTTCCAATCTGATGCAAACGATAAGAGTATGGAGTTTTTGG